ATTCATTGATAAATAATAATTCTTTAAACAAAAATTTTGCACTAATTAACTCAAGATAACAAGAAAAAATGGTATAAAGGATAATATTCAAACAAATGAAAAAGCGCGTGAAGTTTTCATTATTTTTTTTAATAAATTACACAAAGTAAAATTTAATTTCTTATGTATGAAGGCACTTGACCAGTGGCGTCGAAAGCAAATTTTTGATGGGTGAGCTCGTTTTTTTTGTAGGCAGCCAGTGGGCTTGTTTTTTTTTTCATATCATATTTTGACATTGATTTGTCAGCCCACACGATTCCGACGCCACTGCACTTGACTTTTCATTTCAATCTTCATTTTTTCAAAACTTTAATTAATTTTTATAATTAAACCACTTTTCATAGACCTATAATATTTTAATTATTTTCCTTTTGACTATCAGCCCTATCACCATCTTAAATTTCAACAAAATCGCAAACGAATAAACCTGAAGTTCTCCTTGTTGATCACAGTTTTTTCTCCAGGTTGTAGGGATGAAGTATCTTGATCAGAATGTTATAATTTTAAAATTACAACGGATTATATATTTCGACGCTTAAATATATAAATCTTATCATAAAAAATAATAATTATTTATTATTCATCTAGAGGCCGTTCAAGTATTACGTAAGCACTATAGGGGGCGTGTGGGTTATTGATTTGCTTATTTTGCTTATTTTTGGTAAGAAATTTGCTTGCTTTTACTGACAAAAGGGAGGGGGGGGGTAAATAATTGTAATAAATCTGCTTACATATTACTTTAACGATCCCCTAGCAATAACTGAAAATAATTAAAAATACAAGTACTGCGCTACGATCCAATGGCTTTGTAATCATCAGATACTCGCATCTCCTGAATCAAAAATTTCTTTTAAGTTTTTTACTTATCAAAACGATTTTTAAAAATAATTATTTATTATATTTCAAAGTACCCAACATTAAAATTCGATCTCAGTTAGTATGTCATTTTTTTATTACGGAATGCATGAAATCTAATGCCTGATCAGTTGTCTCCCGGCACAGTTATGTTATTCGACATATGCGGACTAACAACATTTAACGGAATACCTGCGTAACGGAATGTGCAACACATAAAAATTCGATTCGGATGTGAAACACATGAAATTCGGCAATAAAATTGCACTGGGAACAACCGAAAAAAAGTATTCATTGTTTCACCTAACGACTACTCGGAATTGGATGAGTAATCTTTTTTCTGATGGTTAAATCAACGGACTGTGATTTTATTTGCGAGAGAAGGTAGCCTTCATTCATCCACTAAACAGATATATAAATATTTTTTGAACTCTTCTAATAAACTTCATTTAATTATTACACTGTTATTGCTATTATGATGAGAAATCCACATTTTCATAATGTACATTTTCTTATCACTAAGTTAGCAATTCATTTGCAATAAATAAGAAAAGTATTTCTATATCCACTATAACAATGTGTTATTGCATCTATGTGATACCTTCTCTCACGTATTCCAATTGTAATTCCAGACAAGGCATATGTAAATTACAATTCATTGCATAATAAATATGTTTTATTCAGTAATAACAAGTGTAGCGTCAATGCTTCCTTTAATAAAAAACACGGAAATGATACATCCAAATGAGAATAATATAGTAAAAGAATTATTGTTTTATTCATTGTAGAATTTTGTACTCTTTAACAAATCTCTTTAACGTACCATCATACCTGGACTTCCAATTACTTGATTGGTATTAGATTTAGACATTTTTTTTAAGTACGACCAAAAATTTGCTGATGTTCCTTCATGGAATAGGCGCAGATGAAAAAAATCTTTTTCCAATAAAAATTCTTACATTTCTCAAACCTTAACTTTAAATCTTTTTATATCGTAAATTTACATAAACAATAGATTGTATAAAGCTTTTTATTAGGTAAGACAAATTTTATGTTCTACAAAATATACTTCTGCACCACATTTGAGTCTTGCTACTTTCTATTTATATGATGTAACATTATATCTATTTTTTTATGAGTTATAAATTTAGAAGTGTTCGGTAATTTATACAAATTAATATTTACTATTCATTCAGTAATTGCTTGCAAAGTTGTTTTCATTTATTTTTACTTGTACTATCCAATCAGCTTCTAAAAAAATTTATATAAAAATATAAAAAAGACGTTATTTATTACAAATTACACTAAGATTTTGTTATAAAAAGTAACTCCTTCATCTCAATTTTCTAAGAGTATTTCACACAGGAAATAATAGTTGAATCGAACAAAATACTAGGTATGGTTCGTTGAGTTTTTAACAATGATACCCGAAATAGACAAGTTTTTTAAATGTTCTTTTAAATACACAATAGCAGATATGTTAAATACTTTTTGTATACAATTCTATATAGGTTTGTAGGTTCTTTGGTAAATGGTGTAATTACTAAAAGTGTTATAATTGCTTTCAAATAAAAATATAGTATTCAATATCAAAGCACTTTACAGTCGCCTTTATTCTAAAGTTTGTTACTGATAATTATTAATGATCATCCGATACATTACTAATCAAATAACAATATTTATGTAAAACAATACAAATTATTCAATATTATACTCTTTTAATTTTTTGATCTGAGCTATGAACATATAAATTTGCATAAATTATATTTGAGCATTTTTAAAATATAAAGGAAATTAGAAAACTTTGTTCGTTAATTTATGCCGATTATTTTAATTATGGTAAAATGCGCATTTTATGCAGATGATAGAAAGCGTGCGGTTATTTATATGACAGATTTAATAATGTAAGAGAAAATACTTCATTTTGTGAAACGATAACACATAATAAATTATTTGCAATTACAAGTAATAATAATGTTTAATAATTTGATAAAAAATGGAACATGATGGACAAAATGATTTTTATGATTCAAACCTACTCATAACAAAATTGACCCGATGATTTTAATTATGAAAAATATGGTCACAAATTAATGTATATATTCCATATAAGCTTTGTAATATTAACGGCTTTGCTGCATTTTTAAATTTGGTATTAAAAAATGTGTTACCAAATAAGTTCTTTTCGATTGGTTAAATTTAGAATGTACATCTTAATATACCTTTCCCATTTTTTAAAGAACATTTACTATTACTCAAGTTCCATTAACAATTTCTTACGTGGCAATATAGTCTATGTAAAAATAGCAACAACAAATGAAGCGTACACGATATTGCGTTACTGAGAATAAGAAAACTACATTAATTACTTCAGATCCCTTATTGTGCAATTGCTTTTCTTATAATAAGTGATCTGTGAATTACATTAATCATCCTAACATAACAGAAACGTGAGAATTATATTTATATATAGTTGGTAATATGGAACAGTACAAAGAGAAAAATGAACGTGCGTAAACAAAAGCTTTTATTAAAAAATACTCACGCTTTATTATGCATTACAAAACATCCTAGACCTAACACATTTAATTAGTATTGAAATGCTGATGACCTGTTTACGTAAAAGCTGTACAATTTTATAATGAAAAAATATCTTCTTCCCACGTAGTAAAAATTTAGTGCTCGATTGTTATATATTTCAAAATAGAGCTTATTTAAATCCAAAGCACATTATTACTTACATTATTAGGTAACTTGGGCAAAATCGGCCAAGAAAGTAGTTGATAGAATATTTTTAACTTTTAATTTATTTAATTATTCATTATATTCTAGTTTTTTCTGTAAAAAATTAATCTGATGCAAGTTCATAATGAAATTGGTTAAAATTCTAGTAGATTTGTTCCTTCAGTCGTTTTTTTATATGTTTGTTTTTATGAATAAAGATTATGACAATGCTATAGGTAATTAAATTTTCATTACCTAGTGTTTATCTAAAATTTACTTAATCAGTTCCTAGCTAAGATCGAAAATTTAAAAATTTATGATATTCTGTAATTTTTATGATTTTACTACTTTATATATTATATATTATGATTCAACTTTGTTGTAAAACGTCTTGTTAATTCTCATATAAAATGATCAAAATCAGAAATAATTGAAGTAATATGAATAACTGAAAAAATTTAATAGTTTTAATATTTGAGTATTCATAACATACAAATGAAAATACGTACTCATCCAATATAAATATTGTGTAATAAAATTAAAAAATGTGAAACTGGTGCAAAACATAGAAAATGAAAGTCGGTATGATTAATATGAATAGCATGGGCATTATTTCAATTCAATTATCTCCAATAATTTCTATATAAGTAATAAATAATTATGAATTTTTAAACTTGTTAATTTTTTAATGACCACTGAATTGAGTCCACAAATAAAAATGAAATAAAAATAAAATTAATTTTATATTTTGTACTTTTAAATGCATTACTATACTCCGACACATATTTATTAAATTCGTGAATTATGTTATTAACGAAGAAGTTAGAATGAAATTAGAAAACAAAAAAATGGCCTGAATAAAATATTAATTTTGTATTTTAATTTGTTCCTATAATCTCATTCATTTTTTGAATATTTCTTTAATCAACAAGAAAAACTTAGCACTGGGTAACCTTTACTCTTGTTTTGACTTTCTATCATATTATTAGTCATAATAATTACTGTTTTTTGTTATATGAAAAGAGATTGTAATTGTGACTAGTAAAAATAATGCATTTTTGCTATATTTATATCATTGAATTATTGCTTGCAATATAATAAAAAAATATTTATCTTGTACATATATGTAATCTTTTCTACGATGTAATAAAAAACATGGACTGAAACAAAATTAAATACGACGTGCATATTGACTATCAAATACTAATAAAAAATATGAGTTTATTATTATGATTCTTAAAACATCTGATTAATTTTCTAAATATACTATCTAATTTACTAATTAATCTTCCAGAATCTTTCCATCAGTCGACCATCTCCACAGATCCGAATGAAGTCGTGTGTCCTGAATTCGCTCACCAGTCGACGTCATGAAATGCAAGATGTCATCGACCACGAGTCGAGCGCTCTGGACGCTCCTGGTGCTGTCGGTCACTGGTTCGGCGATCGCGCAACTGACGAACCGCGCGCCTCATTTCAGCGTCGGCGACGGCGATATGTCAAGGTTCAGCCTGGCCGAGGACACGCCTGTCGGAACGCCCGTCTATCAGCTGAAAGGTATGCATTTTAACGGATTGTTGGGTAGATGAACTTATGGAATAACTATATTTGATGCATGAAACGATTTTGAAGAGCAGAAGAATAAATACGCTAGATCTATAGCTTTCTTGGTATCTAACCGTAAAATTCTGAGTTGTAGATGTATTCGATGTAGAAATATACCATATAAAACTTTTGACACTTCTTGTTATTTTGTGCCAATATGTTTATCATCGATTTTATAATTGTATTTTTTTTCATCATGCGTCAACAATTTTTTATTTAAATTAGCTTCATTACATATTGGGTCTTGCTTACTCGGATCATCGACTACATACTTTTAGTTTCTTTTTATTTTTACATTTTAACATTTTTAATGTCATATACGATATATTGATATATAATAAGAATAAATGATCCATAGTGTGAGAGCCACCAAATGACTCCGTTTACCTTCCTTGTTTATCATTCCCAATGTCGTGTAAAAGGCGCCCTTTCTGCAGAACATCAGGTGCGATCGATACAGTTTCTTTTCAAGATCGTGCTCAGCAGACTCCTTCCTTCGCCCACTCTTATCAGGACTTTTTCATTCTTTTGTCTTACATCTGTATCATTGTATAGCCGTCGGCACCACATTTTTTCTCCACAAAGTTTTGTCGGCCTCTGATCCTTACAGAGTGTCTATGGTCCAGCTTCTTCCGCAAGTCGAGGTTTTTTTTGCTTCCTGAATGGCGCCTTGGCGCTTGCGATTGCAATTCTTGTCCTGATCTCTCCCGTACAGTTCGTTTCTGGTCAGGATGCTTTTCAACTACTTCAAGTTAACTACGTCTTCCTATTATTCTCGTTTTTCCACTGGTATCCTTAGTGGCTGATCCCATTTCGATTTGCCAATTTTGATCGACATTCCGTACCTTCTACCTCCAACTCCATTAGGTGACTTCTACCAATCTTTTTATCTAGTTTTATTTCTTAACTTCTTCTTATCCTAGATCAGGTCCTATCTTCCTCAATTTCTTAATTCTCCATTTTATCTTCGCGAATAACTAACCTTTATTCTTCTTACTCCCAATTCAAGTCAACTTTGCGAATTTTGCAATTATTATAACTCTTCTTGATATTGTAATTTTATATTCGTTAGCACGATATTTTTATTGCAATAGCAATAGCTATGATATTATTAATTATATAATATAATAATGGATAGCAATATTTATAAAATATTGTAGTACAATAAAGTAATACGTAGCTGTTTGAATGTTTCATATATCTATGTGCTGCATACAAATATGCGCATAAATTAATTCATATTTATTATTTAACATTTTGCATTCTAGACCTTTATAAGATAGATCAGTAACAACTCTTCGAATCGTTAAATATCATTACTAATTGCTTTGATATAGTGTAGATGCGTTGCCCTCATTGTGAATGTGTGATACAATTAGTTTTTTTAATTTTTTTCTTTTGTATAACTGTCCTGAATTGTACAACAAGTAAAACTGTAGGATTGAAAAATTGATTTAAAACATACAAATTCTTCTAACCAATTTGTTAGATTTTGATAAATTGATTAGATTTTTCAATCCTGCTCTGATAGTATTGTGGCGTAGAGAGTTTAGATCATAGGTTCCCAAACTTGTTTGTGCCGTGGACCCCTTGGAATGTTTTTTGTTTTGTTATAAACCCCCTATATAAAAGTGACCACACGTACCAGTTTAGCCGGAACAGTCAACATTTTCGGCCCGGTTTGTGCCACGTTCTCAAAAAGTATAGGTTTAAAGCGAATCTTCGCAATGCTTGAATCTAAAATTACAACTACCCATCAAATATCTGAAAACGATATATTTCACATCAATCAATAAATCTGTAGGATAACTAAGAAAAACCAATTTTTTGCCAAATTTTTTTTTATGCAATATAGTTTCTTCGAAGACGATATAAAAATTATAGCAAACTTCAAACTTTTCGAAACTGTTTTTTTAGTACAATTTGTACTTTGCCACAAAATTCAGCTATCATCCCATCATTTGGTAAAGTTTTCTTCAAAGCAAGCATCCTTTCGAGATCTGAGATCGGTAAATGGTCGCTGGGAAATAGATCTAGAAAATATGGTAAAAGGGGAAGCAATTTGGAGCCCAATTCATATATTTCTTCTTTTTAATTTTTGTAAAATTTAAAGTTGATCATTCAATAGTTTTTAAGATATGCGAGGTTGATGGGTGGCTGGCTCCGCTCTCAATACTGGTCTTGAAACAGATTGTACGTTTTCAAAAATGCATTATTCGATTTTGATGAAACATGACATATATTGTTACTACACTTTACTAAATATTTGACAAAAATTTAAAGTTGAATCGTTCAATAGTTTTTAAGATATGCCAGGTTGATGGGTGGCTGGCCCCGCTCTCAATACTGGTCTTGAAACAGATTGTACGTTTTCAAAAATGCATAATTCGATTTTGATGGAACATGACATACATTGTTATTACACTTTACTAAATATTTGACAAAAATTTAAAATTGAATCGTTCAATAGTTTTTAAGATATGCCGGGTTGATGGGTGGCCGGCTCCGCTCTCAATACTGGTCTTAAAACAGATTGTACGTTTTCAAAAATGCATAATTCGATTTTGATGAAACATGACATACATTGTTACTACACTTTACTATATATTTGACAAAAATTTAAAGCTGAATCGTTCAATAGTTTTTAAGATATGCGGGGTTGATGGGTGGCTGGCCCCGCTCTCAATACTGGTCTTGAAACAGATTGTACGTTTTCAAAAATGCATAATTCGATTTTGATGAAACATGACATACATTGTTACTACACTTTACTAAATATTTGACAAAAATTTAAAATTGAATCGTTCAATAGTTTTTAAGATATGCCGGGTTGATGGGTGGCCGGCTCCGCTCTCAATACTGGTCTTAAAACAGATTGTACGTTTTCAAAAATGCATAATTCGATTTTGATGAAACATGACATACATTGTTACTACACTTTACTATATATTTGACAAAAATTTAAAGCTGAATCGTTCAATAGTTTTTAAGATATGCGGGGTTGATGGGTGGCTGGCCCCGCTCTCAATACTGGTCTTGAAACAGATTGTACGTTTTCAAAAATGCATAATTCGATTTTGATGAAACATGACATACATTGTTACTACACTTTACTAAATATTTGACAAAAATTTAAAATTGAATCGTTCAATAGTTTTTAAGATATGCGGGGTTGATGGGTGGCCGGCCCCGCTCTCAATACTGGTCTTGAAACAGATTGTACGTTTTCAAAAATGCATAATTCGATTTTGATGAAACATGACATACATTGTTACTACACTTTACTATATATTTGACAAAAATTTAAAGTTGAATCGTTCAATAGTTTTTAAGATATGCGGGGTTGATGGGTGGCTGGCTCCGCTCTCAATACTGGTATTGAACCAGATTGCACGTTTTCAAAAATGCATAATTTGATTTTGATGAAACTTGACACACATTGTTACTATATTTTACCAAGATTGTGACCAAAATTTAAAGTTGGAATATTCAATAGTTTCTGAGATATGCGAGGTGGCTGGCTCTGTGCACAATACTAACATTTAAAGTTTAAATCATTTCTAAATATGCCCATTTTTATTTTGTGGACCCCCAAATTTTGTTTTCCCTGCCGTGAACCCCTTGATAATTGCTAAATATGCCTGGAGTGAATCATCTAAACGATGATTCTAATTCTTACTTAAATTAGATTAAGAATATATAAGTTTTATATAAAAGTATTGACATGTTTTATAAAGGTAGTATGCATAGCAAAAACATTCAATATGTGATAATTGAATCAACATTCCTTTAACAGTAGTTGAAAGAAAAGTATGTAAGTCATATCATATCACTATATGTTTCATATTCTAAACAGTGTGATAAACTGGATATCTACATAGGTATTAATTATCTTCAAGGTTTAAAAAAATGCACGTGCCTCAGTTTATAAATTTAGAATGAACAAATGTACGTCCCTTAATATTTTTATTCAAATAATCTGTAATAATCTATCATTAATACATTTTCAGGAGTGGATCCAGAAGGAGGTAGGCTCCGATATAGTATCTCAGGCCCCATATTCAGCGTGGATCGAGACACAGGTGTTGTCCGACTACGACAACCATTGGACAGAGAGACACAAGATCAAGTTGAAGTAGTTATCAGCATTACAGGTAAATAAATATAAGGTTTTATTCTTAATTTTAGTTTGTCTGCATCGTAGGGACTGCATGCTGGTACATGTAACGATTTGGAGTTTTATTATTTATTTGCCAATGTTTCTTTTGTGTAACTCGTCTAAATTACAATCAATATTTTTTTCTTACAAAAAAAAATTTTTCTGCTTGTATGATTTGAAAATTCTCTTTGGTTCTTAAGATATTATAGGACATGGAAATAGAAAAGGCTAATTTTAAATTATTTATTATGTCATACATTAAACAAATTATTTATGCTTTACATCACCCTGAGTCCAAATAATGTTGCAATTATATCGAAGTAAGCAAGTGTAAAATCTTCCGAGGCGTTTTACATACAACAAGTATGTAAAAGCAAACTATCGTTCTGGAAAGAACTAATTATTTAAATCCATCTTGCACCATGCATCTTTTATAAACACACGTACACTGCAATATTTACATATTCACATTTAATTAAAAATTATATATTTCTTTCGTACACGCATTGGATTTTTATTCGTTTCCGCAACGTAGAAAGCGTAGCGTTCAAAATTAACCGATGCAAAATTAATCGGCGCGCATTTCAAAATTTGAATTTAATGACGTGTAACTATCGTAAAAGATTGAAGGCTTCGTAAAACATCGCTTTGAAGAAGTCTTGGTAAGATTTAATTATCTTTTTTCATGACATCACGGTTGGTGAACATCTCACGAGAACGTGCGTCTGGTTCGTTGGGTATGGTCATGTCTGTAATAACAAGATACACGATGTATATTACTCCGGTGCCTCGTTGAAATACTCAGAAAATATTATTGCATTGCAATAAACATCATTCTCAATTTATTTTATATCCTTCCAACTGGAATATTTTCAATAACAAAAAATATTCAAGTTTTTTACAATTTCAAATCAATTTGCAATTCGCTACAAAGTATCAAATAGCTTTTAGTTGTGTGTCCACAATGTCTACAATGAAGACATTTT